GTAAGATTAATGTAATGATTAAATAAGGAAAGATTTAATTTATTAATAAAATAATTAGGACTGAAAAAATTAATTAACAATAGTTTTCGAAATAAAAAAATAATTATTTTATTTCATTAAATCACGAGGATTAAGCAATAATTAACATGCATGGAAGCAAAGCTAAATACTCATTCAATTCGACAAAAATAACTGAACTTTATGCCTGGCTATAGTGGCATGTGATAACTTGTGTTAACAACAAATCAAATTCCATTAAAAATAAAGAAAAGGAAATGAGAAGCATAACAAGATATTAATATAAACAATGCTTAAGCATTACAATAAAGAGAGTGCAAGAACATGATCTTGATCTAAAAATCAAGATGCCTAAATGCATGATAAATATATGCTTTTATAAGCCAAAATTAAGAACTATTGATTTATTGACTAATTGTTAAGTGGGTGTTCATATCTTGACTTGATAACAATCCTTATCTTTTTGAACAAAATGTTATTGCTAACATTAGAATTTGAATAGACTTAATTTATAAAAGTTCTAGAAAATTGTCTCAGCTTTCCAACAAAAAATATTGAGGTCATTTGGATTTCTAGAACTCAAGATATGGGCTAAACATTAAATAGTGTATGGGCTATATGACAAATTTAAACTTTTCCGTTGCTGCTAAGATTTAGATTTCCAAGCAATAAAATTGAGTTTGCCTTCCTATGAATATTTTAGGCTTATGTCTTAGCTTTCTAGCCATATAAACTAAATTAAAATATAAGATCTATTACTTTAGATATGACTCAATGACTGAACAGTGTTCTAGTTTGAACTAAACCAGCATCCCCTTTCTAAACTTCACCCTCTATTTGTCTTCTTAATTTTAGGAGTTGAACTCATTAATCAATTCTTTAATTTATATGATAGGCCTGCATTTAAGATGAACATTTACCATAAATTAAAGGTATCTATCAAACTTGTTATTATAAAACACGCTTTAGTTAAGGAGTTATTGATACTTCAAGTGCAAAATGCTAATATAAAACCTTGATAAAAATACATTTTTAAGTACTAGTCAGTCACCTCATCATAACACCTTTTTTTAGGTAATATGTTAATTGTTATATTCCTATAGATAATTCTAGGTCGTAAAAGCAATCATGTTCTTGATTTTTGCTCCTTTAGTAAAATTATGTCTACCCGTGATCATATATAATCCTTTTTTAGGGGGTATTACTTTAACCTCAAATACTTTAGGACCTTAATTACTTATTCCTAAAA